ACATAATTATAATGTACGTTTGGTTTGTGCTTCCAATGCGAATGTTGTTGTACATATATGTTGTTCATATGTAGCCCATCATTTATCACGGTTCTTTCTCGTGAGCGTACATGCTGCGAGTTCACCTTGGGCTGTGTTGGTAGGCAATTCACCTTGGTTGTTGTTGGGGTTCGGATTTTTCCACATTGTTGTCTGTAATAGAAAAGCCTTTTTGCATTGTTATTCTTCCTCAATTGGTTTACTCAGGAATGCTTAAGAGTCTTGTTTATTTACCAATAGGAAGGAAGTTACTGTTAAAAAAAAAGCAAAAGGAAGAGGGATAGTTTGACGGCTCTCTTCTTTCACTATTTGATTTATTCATGCTGGTTAATCGTATGCTGTATTTGTAGGCCGTGAACCCGTTGTGAAGTTTATCCGAAACAGGGGAGAGGAAATAGTTCGGTTTTTGGTTTGGTTTTTATAAAAATCAAGTCAAATGGTACTGTATTGTGTCAATTGAAATATTTTGGCTTGGTAGTTTGATTTTAATTTTTTTTCAAATAAAATTTTCATTTTTTATTTTTTAAAATAAAATTTCCTCCGATTGTAAGGAAATTAAATAGACTAAAAATAAACAATAAAAAATAAAAATAAAAATAAAAACGAAAATGGGTAAAAATTGGAGGAATATGTAATCCAAAATTTGAATTATAATAGTTGCCTCCTTTTTATAATGCTCACGATGCAAATGTTAGTTGTAGTATGAACTTCGATTGAGTTTTCTTAGTAAACTTGTAAAGAAAGAAGAGTAAATTGAGTGGCAACAAATAGTCCGATTGCTTGGATGACGTGCCTTGCAAATGTGAAATGTAATGCAATGGCCTTATTCTCAAGAATGGCCTATCTTAAAAGGTAAGATGCGATAGTCTCTTTGTGAAGTGTGGTTTATCCCGAAAAGTGAAATGCGACAATCGTTAGGCAATTCTGTCTCAAATGATGAACTAGGTAGACAGACCTTACTTAAAATTGGAGATGATTAGTAGGCAATCTTGTCGAAATGATCAACTAAATTAGAGAACCCTATATGGAATTGAGAAATAATAGTTAGGCAACCCTATCTAAAATGATGAACTAAATTTGACAACCCCGTCCGAAATGAGAATGTATCACTAAACGATATTGCCTAAAACAATGAACTAAGTTAGGGGATCTCGCCTAAATATGAGAATTATCGCTATGCAACCTTACCTACGACGAGGAAATAAGTTGGATAACCATGCATGAATACGAGAAATGATCGTTAGACTACCCTATCTAAATGACAAACTAAGCTAGGCAACTTAGCTTGAAATGAGAATTATCGATAGACAAATTTGCCTAAAATGATGAACTAAGTTAGTTGATCCCATATGAATACAAGAATTATCGTTAAGCAACCCTACCTACAACAAAGAACTAAGTTGGGCAACCTCGCTGGAATATAAGAAATGATCGTTAGGCAATATTGCCTAAATGATGAACTAAGCTATGCGACTCCGCCTAAAATAAGAATTATCTATAGACAAACTTGCTTAAAATGGTAAGCTAAATTAAATGACCCTACCCGAAATGAGAATGATCATTAGGTAATACCGCCTAAAACAATGAACTAAGATAGGCAATCCCGCTTAAAATGAGAATGATCGTTAGGCAATACCGCTTAAAACAACGAACTAAGATAGGTGATCCCACTTGAAATGAGAATGATAGTTAGACAATCCTCGCTTAAAACAACGAACTAAGATAGACGACTCGTTTGAAATAAAAATGATTGCTAGACAATCCTACCTAAAATAACGAATTAAGATAGGCAATATCGTCCAAAATGAGAATGATCGTTATGCAATCCTCGCCTTAAATGATGAACCGAGTTAAACGACCAGATCGAATAGTATCATACGATCCTCGCGTATCTTTTGGTCCGATGCCACCTCCTAAACCGATCACATGATTACCACATTGTGGCTTGAAACATTTTTTAACCAATTCAATAGGTTAAAATAAGTTGAAATAAAAATTTGATTAAAACAATCCATCGTAATAAGAGGGAAAAAATAGCATCGAAACATCAAATATTAGAAGAAGAGAAGGAAAAAGACATCCCGACATGCTAGTATCATTAATAAAACAAGAACCTTTTATTTTTATTTTCATTTTTGGTGGGGGGTTTGATTGGAATAGAGAAAATAGCTTTGTCAATATTCTTTACTACGAGGGTGGAAGTGAAAAATTAATAAATGGATAAGGACATGAATAAGTTGAAAAAGACAAAAAAGAAAAACTGGTAAACTAGTAGTAAAATTTTTACCGATTAGTAATTAGAAAAGAAAAGAAGTAGTAGATGAATCAGTAAAAAGTGAAAGAAGATGTCGGTTGAAAAAACCCGACATAGGAGGAAGAGGGGGAAAAATGGTGTCAAATCATTAAAGATTAGAAAAAGAGAAGGAAAAAAAAATCTAATAAGATAATAATGCTAATAAAACAAGAAAATTTTTATTTATTTATTTTTAGGTGTTTTTTTTTTTTCCTTTTCGGATTGTCTCGTGATATGGTAGAAATCATGTGCTAATACAACACAAAGGAGGAGCAGGATTAAATGAAAGATCATTCCCGACAAGTGTAGAGTATTTTCTCCTCGTCTTCTTCGGATAACCTCACTTCTTTAGTAATAATAATTTTAATTTATTTCTATTTTCTTCTTTTCCTTAAATAGTATTTAGAACATCAGCATATTCTTCATTTCTCTTTAAAACCAAATCAAATAAATAAATAAAAAAGAGTGAAACATGATGTCGAAGTGAAACATTAAAAAATTTAGGTGTTGTTTGGTAATCGGAGGTAAAGTGATGGGAATGGGAATACAGGAATCGGAATAAAAATTAAAGAATCGGAATGATATTTGTATTCCAATACTAATAAGGAATTAGATTGCAATTTAAATTTTTTAGTATCTAGTTTTTATATAAATAAAAATAATGATTAAAAAATAATTTTATTAAAGTATAATGGTTGTGAAAATAATAAAGGTGATAGTGGTGATTGTGGTTATGATAGTGGTGGTGGTGGTGGTGGTAATGATTGCGGTAATGGTGGTGGTAGTGGTGGTGATAATGGTAGTAGTAGTGGTGGTTGTGATAATGATGATGATGATGGTGGTGGCGGCGGAGAGGATGGTGGTTACGGTGGTGATGGTTGTGATGGTAGTTGTGCTTGTTGTGATGGTAATGGTAGTTATGCTTATTGTGATGGCGGTGGTGATGGTGGTAAAAATAGTTAATAGGCAATAAATATATAAAATATATCATTATTTTGAAAAAAAATTCATTCTCGTTCCTTGTTTGTATTCCCACATCTTATGTGGGAATGAAGTTATGTTTAAATTTTCATTCTTATTCCCACTCTTCATTCTCATTCCCACTTCATTCATTTTAGCAAAACAACTACGATATGGGAATAAAACTTTCATTTTCATTCTCATCACTCTATTCCCGATTATTAAACAACACCTTCGAGTATTGTCAATATTCTTCTCATGGAAATGAAATATTGATAAACGGATAGGTATAAAATAAGTTAAAAGAGAGGAAACAAATAGAGTAATAGTAGTTGTTATTACTAGTTGGAAATTAAAAAAGAAAAAAGGAAGTAACTATATATGTTAGTTATTACTACTCGTAATTAATTTAAAAAAGAAAGAAAGAAAGAAGTATTAGATGAATTAGTTAAAAACTAATTTGTTGCTTGTGTTATGAAACGGATCGAATCGAACAAAATCCTTTAAATTTATTTCAATTTTTTTTAAATAACTTAATATTGTTGTATAGTTAATTTTTTTTATAAGATTGTATAAAAAAATAAAGCTACAATTAACGTAAAAATTTGTATAAAAAACAACAAATGAAAGAATATCTTTTATTCTTATTTAATTTCAATGAGAAGTTTTTTTTTAAAAAAATATATGTATATTTGATTTATATTTATCCAATCACAAAATAATCAATAACATTAACATGAAAAACTATATTTGAATCATTGGGCGGTTTTTTAAAAACATTATTTTAACTATTTTGATTGAAAGAAATTGATTTTAGAATATTGAAAAGAAAAAAATTGATAGCAAATGATTGGTGTTACATGTGTAGATGTATATTTAATTTCTAACAAAATCGATGATTTAATTTTTTTTAATACATCTTGGCTACACTCAATGAGTTTAGATCATGCAAGTATAAACTAAAAATTATATATATATATATATATAACCTGTAAGGAATACATTAGATGAATTTAAATCTACTAGATTGAAACAAAAACTACTATAAATTTGATTTTAATAAATTCTGATTACTTAAACAAGAAGCAAATAACATATGTGAATTTCATTTTTCAATTGATTTTTTTCTAAACAAATTGAGATAAAATATCTAAAATACACATGTAGTTTTAAATTAAGTAATATTTATCTATAATTATGCAACTCTTATTTAAAAATAATAAGAATTCATCATATAAATTATATTAATATATTTTAAAAAATAAAAAAATAATCATATTCTAAAATTTTATTTTAAAATCCATATACGGAGAAAAACAAATAATATTTATTAACAAATAAAATAATATAAAAATAATAATTAGAAGAGATTTTATGACAAATTGAGAAAAAAATTTTAAAATATAAAAGCATATCATATTTTTTTTATCATCAAAATACATGAAAAATTAAAAAACGATTGTTTTTCCAAAATTTTGGCACAAATTCAATAAAAAATTGAAAAACTATTTTTTTTTAACGTAAATTGGTTTTTTTCGTTTCTTCCAGAATTACCCCTGTAATACGGTATAAGTAATGTGTTAATCCAACACAGAGGGGGAGAGGGTTTAAGTCGAAGAGCGTCGCGTGGTTTCCCCTCTCTTCTCCGGTAATAATAATAAAAAAAAAAAAAAAAAAGGGAAAGCGGAGAGAAAGAGAAGAAAGAGAGATGTCAGATCGATTGACTCGTATAGCTATAGTAACCTCAGACAGATGCAAGCCTAAGAAGTGCCGTCAAGAATGCAAGAAGAGTTGCCCCGTCGTCAAAACTGGTATTTTTCCTTTCTCTTCTTCTTGTTTTTTCTCTTCTGTTGTTTTCTTTCTTTAATTAATTAGTTCACTATTAATTGTCTATGATTTGTATCTCATGGATCAATTTTCATTTTCCTAATTATTCGCCTCAATTAGAGGCGAATCTGTTTTATTTAGCCTGTGATTACAGCTCAGGAAAGCTTTCTAACTGTCAGTTTGGAATTTTAGGTTTTGGTTTAGAGCAACAAATTGTTGTTGATGTTGTTGTGAAATTAGGGTATTTATAAATAAATAACTAATGATCTAATTATCCAATACCCAAATCACAGGGAAACTGTGTATCGAGGTGACTCCGGCTTCGAAGATAGCTTTTATCTCAGAGGAGTTGTGTATTGGATGCGGTATCTGTGTTAAGGCAAGCTCATACCCTCCACTTTTGGAGCTTATTTATATATTATTATTTCTGCTTATTATTAATATTAATATTATTCCTACTACTACTATCATCATCATCATCATCATCATGTTTAGGTTGCGGACTAAGTGATTGTTTATCCTCTGATGCAGAAATGCCCGTTTGAAGCAATTCAGATCATTAACTTGCCTAAGGATTTGGATAAAGACACAACCCATCGTTATGGCCCCAATACCTTTAAATTGCACAGGTTGGCTAGCTGCTTGCCTGCCTTTACTTACTCAATCAATGCATTTCTAGCAAAAAACAGAACAAAATAAATGATGTAATTGCAGGTTACCAGTTCCGAGGCCTGGGCAAGTTCTTGGCTTGGTTGGAACAAATGGTATTGGCAAGTCCACTGCTCTCAAAGTTCTGGCTGGAAAACTCAAACCAAATTTGGGTCGTTTCAATGTAAGAACTAGCCCCATTTTGTATACTTGCTCTTACTTCTACCTCACAACGATGCATTTGTGTTAGTTACCTCTCTCTATCTCTCTCTCTCTCTCTCTTTTTTTTGGCAGAACCCTCCTGATTGGCAGGAAATTTTGACTTACTTTCGAGGATCTGAACTTCAGAATTACTTTACCCGTATCCTAGAGGATAATTTGAAGGTAACCTTTCTACTTGAGCATGCTCGATTGCACTTAAAACTTTGCATTATTGCTAGATATACTGCTCCATTTTGTGGAAGAATTATTTCTCTGTCCTCACACTAAAATAGGATCCTTGATACTGTTTCCTTTCACCTATCATTACCGTGCCTACACTTTTTCCTTAACAGATTCAATTAACTTTGACTGTATCATTCAGATAATTATTCTGTTAGGATTCGTTCACTTTTTCCTGAATACTTGTAATTCCTAGGTTGTTAATTTGATAGCTTGAATTACGGTTTGATGCATAAGCAATATACCATGTCAGCTTACATGCCATAATTCATTCCTTAGCATGCAATCACTTCCCTTGGGAACAAGGAACCCTTATATTAGAAAATATGTTTTACAGAGATGATCGTGAAACAATGTTTTCTTAGAGAACATATTTCACAGGTTATATGTAAAATCAACATAAAAATCATTTCAGGATTATGCTTGTGTTTTTCCCATCTTGATTGTTTTTGTCATGCCTCTTCTTGGATATGTCTAATCATCATTAGTTTACTTGTTTTCTATCTTCCTTCTAAAATCATGTTTGTTTCATACCCAGGCCATCATAAAGCCTCAGTATGTTGACCACATTCCGAGAGCAGTTCAAGGCAATGTCGGGCAAGTGCTTGACCAAAAAGATGAGAGGGACCGGAAGGCAGATCTTTGTCGTGATCTTGAACTGAACCAGGTCATAGATCGTAATGTGGGGGATTTATCAGGTGGAGAGCTCCAAAGATTTGCTATTGCTGTTGTTGCAATACAGAATGCAGAGATATATATGTTTGATGAGCCTTCAAGTTATCTTGATGTCAAACAGAGGCTCAAAGCTGCCCAAGTTGTTCGATCTTTGCTCAGGCCCAACAGGTTTGACCTCCTTTCTTTTCTTTGCACCTTATACTGAGGACATAGGTTACAATGATTATGCCTTCATTTCAGCTATGTAATTGTGGTGGAGCACGATCTTAGCGTCTTGGATTATTTATCGGACTTCATTTGCTGCTTGTACGGGAAACCGGGTGCATATGGAGTGGTAACCCTTCCCTTCTCTGTGAGAGAAGGTATCAATATATTCTTGTCTGGGTTTGTTCCTACAGAAAATCTACGATTCCGGGATGAATCTTTAACCTTCAAGGTATTTTTTTTTTGTATTCTTTACACATTTACTTTCCTTTATTCTGCATTTTACCTTTTTGTCATTAATTTTGTTGTGTTTCCCAGGTTGCTGAGACTCCACAGGAGAGTGCTGAGGAGATTCAAACATATGCACGATACAAATACCCAACCATGAGTAAAACTCAGGGCAATTTCAAGCTTCGTGTCGTTGAGGGTGAATTTACTGACTCTCAGATTGTAGTGATGCTAGGTGAGAATGGGACAGGGAAGACGACATTTATCCGCATGCTGGTATTGTCTTCATTCATCATTCTCTCTGTTATTTGTTTTCTCGCAACATGATTTTCTGCCTGTTAATGAGTTATTTTGTTGGTAAAACATGCAGGCTGGTTTATTGAAACCTGATACTGTAGAAGGTTCTGAAGCTGAGATACCTGAGTTCAATGTTTCTTACAAGCCCCAGAAGATCAGTCCCAAATTTCAATCCAGTGTCAGACAGTTGCTGCATTCTAAGATACGTGATTCGTATATGCATGCTCAGTTTGTTTCAGATGTCATGAAACCACTTCTTATTGAGCAATTGATGGATCAAGAAGTAGTAAATCTGTCTGGTGGAGAGTTGCAAAGAGTTGCATTATGCCTATGCCTTGGAAAGGTAAAGAAATTTTATCCGATCTACTATTCATTTATATTGTTGAATGAGGAAAGACATTTGGATTTGTTTATGCTCTGATTTATGATGCTGCTTTCTTAAAATATCCTTTTGTTGTTGAATCTGCTGCTTCGTGTGTTGAGCAGTCTTGTGACATGATAGAGTTTACAGATAGTGTATAGGTCTGTTAAATTGTGGTTTAGATTTTTAAGAGGTTGATGTGATCAAAATTTATGTTAGTCGAAATGCTTTGACAATACGTTGATGATTAAATGGTGATTATTCTTCCTCCTCCTCTGTTTTACCTCATTATTTCATGCAATTTAGTCCATTGGTTGGATATCTTCATGGATTGAATGGCTTATTCTTTTAAAATAAGTTGCTAAATATGGTCTGGTGCGTGGTTTTCTTGATGCAGCCAGCTGACATTTATCTGATAGATGAACCGAGCGCGTATCTGGATTCAGAGCAGCGTATTGTTGCTTCGAAAGTCATCAAGAGGTTTATCCTACATGCAAAGAAGACTGCATTTGTGGTGGAGCATGATTTTATAATGGCAACATACCTGGCTGATAGAGTTATCGTGTATGAGGGAAAGCCTTCTGTGGATTGTACTGCAAATTCTCCTCAGTCATTATTGACTGGGATGAATCTCTTCTTATCTGTAAGTCGAGTATTCTCTTCCCCATTGATCATGCATTGAATAGAGAAAAAAAGTAAGAAAGATGAAACTAATACTGAAGATGCCAAGTCATTGTAGATTTAATTATGAAGCCATATCCATTGAAAATATCCCCTAGCGATGTGCTCTCTCTCTCTCTGTTCTTACCAGTTATGTTTAACATGAAATCAAACCAAGCTTATCTGAACAGCTCGCTGTTGCTTTAGTAATCTGTATTGTCTAACACTTGACATTTACAATGTGTTTGGGAATATTTAAGGGGGAAGGGAGGGGAAGAGAAAACAGGTCTCCTTGTTTAGATTTGTAACTAGGTGAATAGAGATGAAAAATTTTTCTTTGCTTTTTTGGAAGATGGGAATGAGAGGTTTTTGGGATTTGGTTACATTTATGTCCTTTGAATAGAGTTCTGTGAAATTAGAGGCTATAATCATAAATTTGAGTCCAAAATGTTACGAGTATTTCCTTGCCGTACATCATCCCCAATTTGGGTTGGGGGAAACATTTTAATACAAAGTAGGGAGATGAAGGTTGAAAAATCTCCCTTCCCCTCCTATTCTAAAGTTTTCCCAGACAAGGTTAACTAATTAGTTCTCCTCCTTTACCCTCCTCTTTCACCTTCTTCCCAAACAAATTGTTATATTCTCTTAGGCCTGCTTTGTTCTCTCTCTCAATAAAGTACTTATCGTTCACATTTTTTGCTCTGATGCAGCATCTGGATATCACATTTAGGCGAGACCCCACTAATTTCCGGCCAAGAATCAACAAATTGGAGTCGACTAAGGATAGGGAGCAGAAATCTGCTGGGTCATATTATTATCTGGATGATTGATGTAACTATTCACGCAGGTCTGCATTATCTGTCCTAATTTCTTTAGTCTATGTTACAGCAAGCATTGATATTTGACTCTTTTGGCCTGGCTGGGTATTTGATGGGTGTTGTAATTTTATTTTCTGTTGGCAATCATGCAGTGTTAAGGGCATCGATCTGGTTTATTGTGTAAGCTAGTCACAGTTGGCACAAATCTGATTAATTTTTCCCTCCCAGTCAAGTCAATGTAGTATGCTGACAAGTGACTGGATTACCTCTGCCTGCGAAGAGGCCATGGTTTTTCTTTTTTTCGTGGAAATGAGTCTGGTGGCTGCTTTTGAAAGATCCTTTATGATGTTTTCTCCTGTAGCGAGTTTTTTGTACGCCAGTTTTGTTTTATGACGTTAGGTGAGTGAATCATAATGTTACCCAAATTTTTTTGGGCATTTGCTACTTCAAGTTGTTGTATTTTGACTAGAATTGCTATTTAATTAGAGCAGAGAACGAAAAAAAAGGGCAAACTTGAGCTATTAGGGTCTTGCCTGTGTTTTGTATCTGGCTTTGGCATTTTAACTATTCTAGCAGGACAAGTAATCATCCGAGAGATGTTTTAGACCCTTTTTCTTAGACCTTTTTTTCTTTGCCCAATATAGCAATGCATAATTGAACCTCATCTACAATATTATGTTGTTATTGGTGCAGTAGTTGAATGGTTGATTTTTTTTTTTTTTTAATTCGAATCTATGTGGAATGTGGGGATGGTTCGCCTGACAATCAAATGAACAAAGATCTCCAATTAGTCCTTGTTTCATTCTATTCATGCGGACCACGGCAAGATAGTACAGCGAGCAAGGAGGAGTTGAATAAAAAAACCAGCTAGTTTGAATGAGTGCTAACTGCTAAAGCTTCTGAAACCGTGATTTTCTTCTGTAGCTTATCTGTGAGTCTTCTTTGTGGTATCTGTTCATTTAGGGTAGGTCAGTTGTGCTTTTATTTTAGGCTTATTATAATATTTACTCCCGTTGTGCCCTGCCCTACGAATGGAGTCTTTTTTTCTTCTTTCAAGCACCCACCCACAGCAGCTAACTTTGATAAAGTATGGTGCGAGTTCATGAATGACAAAACTTGCCATGAACTCCCACTGCGGACTTCAAAAGGGAAGGTGATGTTCCCAGTATTCACCAATCGGATTTGGAATTTGCACGTGCATATATGTGTGTGTGTGTAGCTTTGAGATCCAAACCTTTTCAGCGGGTATTTTTATAACAGTGCTGACGAGGAATCACAATAGAGGATGATTCTATGCTCCTAGCAACTATTTTTGTTTTTTGTTTTTTTTTTTTTAAAATACTATGAGCATAGTGAAAAAGTAAGATGATACAAAAGAAAACTTTTAAATAATGTTACAAAATAAAAAGAAAATGATACATCAGCTTCCTCTATTTCAGAGATTACATCCTGTCTGACTATATTCCCACCAGCCTCTTGGATTAGTCAATGTGTATCAAGGAACCGGAGCAGCTATTGGATACTCTCTTCTAACGTCCCTTTCTAAACCAGTATCCGACAATCTCATTTGACTTAATTCTTCTTCTGCTAATCTATGCCTCGTTTTTAGCAGCCTGTCCTTACCAAGGTGGGTGGTCATCCTCTGCAGTTTGTGGTGGCTTCGGTTTCCAATCAGGTTTCTCGTCCCAGTACATGTCATAGTATATATGCCCAGGATTGTGATTTTCAACACAGCACCATATACCAACATAACGTTTCGCGCGATTCCTAAATTTTTCTTCTCTTCCCTGAGCATATGTTCAAAATAGCATTAGCACATGAAGAGCCAAGCATTGAAAGACCACACAAATACTCTCCATCGTAAGCCAGGAAAAAAAGAAACAGAAAGAAAAATTCAAGTACTTGCCCTGTCAGCGAAGCCAACAAAAGCATCTTGCATTGAAGAGAATTGAATGACTTTGACATCCTTAAATGATGAGAACGTGGTCTTGAACTGCATGGTAAAAGAAAAATTCAATTAACCATGATGAAAACAGCAGACAAGCTTGTTATATAAACTGAACTGAAGAATTAAACATAATCGAATGATTAAAAAAAAAAAAAAGTAACAAATAAACAAATCTGAATTGACATCAAGAAAGTGAAAAACATATAACTTCCCTCTTCTTGGGAAGAATTTGCTAGTCTAGTTTTATTGATTAGTATTTTTTTTTTTTGTGATGCCCATCAAACACAGAATACTGGTCATGTTTAGAACCATTTTGAAAGGATCATTTAACAAAAGAGAAAATGGAAGCCACTAAAGTTCCTTATAATAGTTTGAGCAAAAATGACATATGAGGCTAGATTGAAAGAACGCTTTAAATATTGGAACTTTATAGTATTTGATAATGGATGCAAGCTTGTGTAATCATTCCAGTTACCATGTCTTCATTGCTGCGTTTTGGAAATCTGAGTATTCCTCGCCCACTTGTCTTGTTTGATGCACTACAATCTTGCGCTCCTTCTTGACAAAGCTGAACATCAAGCCATGACTCTTTCACCTGCAAGCATCCAAAAGACTAATTAATCCAGAGAGTTCTAAATAACCAAAAAGTAAGCCTTTCATGCAAATTCCATGATGTTTGCTTACATGTCTAGGCAAGGATGGATTATCCAAAAAAGAGTATTCTCTGAAATTAATTGCAGGGCCAAACTCCTCCTCTGGCAGCTCCTTCAACATGTTATTCACCTTCAGGTCAGTGCACAAAACATTCCTCAGTTTCACAACATATGTATTCCAAAGTAAAATATCACAGGAGTTTATCGACAGTGAGGTCCCTTCATCTTTGCCACATAAATGATGACTGAAATGGAAACCCTTGGGAGCTACTTACTGTCAGAGAATTCTCTTTTGTAAAACAGAATGCAAGAGAACTTTCGTTGATTTTTACCAAAGTTGTCATGTTACATAATAATAAATAGACAGTTTGCTAAAACTCTAAAGTAAACCACAGATTAGAGTTAGAATTTTCTTCAGAAATACCTCAAATACGTGGTCCAAAGGGCATAGAAAAGGTTGCCTGGTCATAGATCCGACCAGAACTCCAGGATGGGAAAACCATAGTCTATCCAGCCTGCACCATAGAGGAGGCATGACCTGAATTTTACATATAAAAGCACAGGAAAGAGATCAAGAGATAGATTACTCGAGGATTTACAAATACAACAATGCGAGTCAAATATAAACAACAAAACTGCCACAAAATACAAGGATGGGAATGTCCAAGATTGGTATTATTCTCACCAGTGTACGATTTAACAACGAAGCAATTGCCAGTGCAGTCCTTATTTGCTTTATCTGAACAAAGTCATAACAAGTTGAATTATAAGATCCAACAATGTAGTTTCCAGGGAATTGGTGGAAGTTAGTGGGATGAATACATGCATACTTGGTAATTAATCAGAGAAAAGTGTGTTTCGAGGTTATGCTCCCCATCCAGCAACATACTCTTTGGAATAGATGGCTTGAACGAAATGTAACCTCCTGCACATGGATTCCAAAGAGACATTAGGCAGGGGAAACTTTCGGTACGATAGGATAAACTCCAAAGCACTAACTAAGAGCAGCTTACAGCAAGTAACACTCTGTTCGGGTTTATATATAAAGAGAGATTTGAGAGAACATGAAAGCTGAGTAACCAATTAGGTACACTCCGGCTTACATATATATGTCTAAGCTCAAAAAGTGAAAATTACAAATAGGCCCCCATAAATATACTCTCAACACACTCCATTGTTTCTTTGATGATTCACATGGGTCCATTTGTTAAAATAAAACAAAATAGAAAAATCCTTGCAAATGCTATGAAGTTGGAAGCACCTAACAAGAATAAGATTCAACCATTAACTGAAAGTTGGTTCTGTATTACATGCATCGATATGTAAAATCGTTGTCTATTGTTGTCTATTATTGTTAAAGAGTTGATGTCTGTCAGTTTGGAATTTGGATTGCACCGCAGATGCAGAATAAGTTGGCATGTTTCATGGACACTAAGTTTCTTCAGGGTTATCATGAGAGCAAATACAAAAGGCAATTATTATTATTATTATTATTCGAAAAGGTGTTCAAGTACATAAAATTTTCAGAAATTACCAATCTGATTCTACAGAATTACCTGGTGCATCATAGTATTCCGGTGGATCGTAAAAAACCATGGCTTCCCGCAATCGATGCCTCTTCCCTTCCGTACCGGCATACTGGAATGTGGTATGCACCGCATATGGTTCCAGTCTAAATTGTTGATACATGGCCTGCAAATACATTATTAAGGCTCAGGATACACTTCATACCCACCATGTGACGTTCAGTTAGTTAAAACAAGACAGTAATAATTGAGAGGCACGTAAAAGCTAGTGTTAAAAGTACAAATTAATCCTACCTGGACAAAATAAGTATGTCCACTGCAAAATATGCTTGCTGGTAAAATTCCAAGTTTGAGATTCCCATCAAAAGCATATACAAGTCCACTGTACCCATCAACAGACGGTCCCAACTGCTTGCGTACAATATCATTGAATCCATTCTGATCCCATATCTTATCATCAGCTAGAAGCATATCTTTCCATTCTTTTGCCAATTTTTTTGATGAATCTGTTGGCCGCCAGTGGAAAATTCCTATATTATAGGCCGCACCAACTGCAGAGCATGAAGAAAAAATCTTATCAGTAGGGTGGCAATAGTAAAGCAAACATATTCAAAACGTAAAATAACCATGAGCATGAAAAATAAGCAAGAAAACCTTTTATCAGTTCTTCTAAAATAAGTAGTGTCCCTCTTGTCCAAGCAACTATTAACTTGGTGATAAAAGCCTCACAAGAGATGGGATGTGTTTGGGAAATTAATTCTTGCTATTATCCGAAGCACAGGTGAACACCTCTTAGTTCCCAGTCATATCCAAAGAGATGGGATATGTTGAGAAATCAGTTACACTATCATTAGCTGAAAAGGGGCAAAGTCCTTTCGGAGTGCCCAATCAAACTCAAAGGGTAGACAGAATTTCAGTCAACAAAAAATTTTGCTGATAAGCATTTGACATGCCAATTAACAAAACTGGAAAAAAAAAATCTAAATACTACACAAGTGAGGAATAAGATTGTGTTTGTAGATTGGTGCAGTAAGAATGACATATCAATAATCATCAAGGATAACAGAGGTGAAAAGAAATCGACATTAAAAACACATCTTGCTTCTAATATAGTCTTCACCTTGTTGCCATATGTCCAAGCTGTCATCAACAACTGTGGGTACAACTTGATCACTTGAAGTCAAAACATCTGCTTCGGGATAACGTGCAAGATATGGAAGCGGGTCCTGTTCCAGTAATGCATCAAATGAAGTACAACAAACTATCTTCAGATGCTATTAATAGAAGAAAAATGATACAATATAACAGCTAAATCCTTCCCAAATAACAAAAAAAAAAAAAAAAAACAAAAGAAAAATCATGTAACAATACCTTCAACCAGACCATGTCTGTGTCACACATTAATAGCTCAACACCAAAAGGGAGGATTGCGTTTATCAAAATAACTTTTTCTCTCCCCATCTTATGAAACGTCGCCGAGCCCCACCCAACATCTGCAGTGCTCATGTGGCTGCCCATGTCAAAAACTGGAATACCTTTCCAGTACAAAGCCTCCAACAGCTTGGTGTCCATAGCACCTAAAAGGGGGAAAAAAATCCAAGGTAATAGTATCATGTAAAATACTTTAACTCTGGACTTTAAGAGAGGTAGAAAACTGAGAAAGAGTAAAAAAAAGGTATGATAATGATACGTACCAACAAGAAGGTTGGAAAGGCCCAAATCCGTCAAGTGTTTAACCCAGGAAAGGATAAAATCCATGAAAGCATAGTTACCAAAGGTGACTATAATAACATTATCTTTCACCCTTTGCTGAACAAGTTGTTTTGTGAGTCTAAAGGTCTTTAAGGATGGCATTTTGGTATTGCGTGGGGGAGGTTCCCAAATTGGTTTTATCTGCATGGTTTGGGGCTTGGATGTCGGCGGTGATGAACCTGCAGCTAGTGGTGTTGGGTTGGAAAAATTGGAAGATTGATCCACATCTGAAAACAAATTGGTTTGATTGATTCACACCATCATAAAAAATGGAATGTTAAAAACGAGAATAATTAAAGATTAAAGTGATTAATATTGTTGCAGAACAGAAAAAAAGGGAAGATTATGTTAGTTTTATTTATTAAATGGGATTTGATACGCACAATGTAGTAGAGGTAGTAGCTTCTTTTTACAGTATATACATTCATTCATTGGATTTTGACTTTGAAATTGAGAGAAAACACAACTAACTAATATTCATTCTTAGCATGGTTGAACTGTGAAAAAGGTCAACGTTGGTTGGTTGGTTGCTTCATCATGCACTTGCAATTTGAGAAAAAGGCGAATAGAATAACAGAAAACAATACAAATACAAGTAATTAATTGATTTTGATTTTGATTTGATTTGCAGTAACTAAGAAATTAATAGAGAGCAAGAGAGAGTATGTACGTAGAAGAAAGAGATGGCTTACTACGAGTATTATCAATCATTTTAGGAATGGAAGAAGGGGGGAAGAGAGCCAGGAAGTGGAGGACGGTGAGGATGAATTGGCAGAGTAGACGGCGGAGAAAACATATAAGGAAGAGAAGACGATGCCGAGGAAGACAGTGGCGTAGATCGCGACGAAGAGAGGCCTGGAATTAGCAAGCTCCTGGTACGCATTCCTCCATGTGGAAGATGCTCCTCCTCCTCCTCCCACCATTTCTTCTTCTGATGATGATTACTACTGCTACTATTATTATTATTACTCCTCCAACTTCAAATTAATAATTTTGAGTATTTCTTCCTTTGATCAAATTCAAACTCAAACCCACGCCATTCCTAATTTCTTTCTCTCTCTCTCTTGCTGGAGTAGGGAAATTAGGACCAAATCCTAATATTTTATATATTTTTTGATTGATTGATAAAAATAATGAATGATTCAATTAAAAAAAATCAAAATAAAGGGGAAACCCAAGCCAAGCCTCCCCAACCCAGATGCAGGGCTAGACTTGAGATTGGAAAGTTATTTTTATTACTACTGTTTATTATTGGAAAAACTATATAATATAATATTAATTTTAAATCTTTTCTCAACAGAATGCATTAAATTTTTTTTTATTTTAATATATTAATTTTTTCAAAAATGTCACCAAAGTTTTTCAGTTGAATTTTTCATTTAATTATGATATAGCAGTTAATAGAGAAAATAAAGTGATTATATTACCTTTTTTATTCTCCATCTAAATTATTATTATTGTTGTTTAATTATTAATTAAGAAAAAAAAGTAAAATAGTTGCTTTGGTATATTTTTTTTAAGAAAATTGAGTTGCTTTGCTTTTTTTTTAATTAATAATTAAATAATAATAATAATAATTTAGGAGGAGAAAAGAGAAAAAAGTTAATATAGTTATTTAATATTTTTTGTTAAATGTCACATCATTACTATATGAAAAATTAAACCAAAAAAATTTAATTGATATTTTTAAAAAAATTGATATAATGAAAAAAAAATAATATATTCAATTGAGAAAATGTTAAAAATTGCAGTACTTCTTATATAATTTTGCCGTTTATTATTTATTGAATTGGATTATTTTTTTTATTTTAAATTGCAGTTTCGTGTATGCTTCCTTCACCTGCCCTCCATCCCTGTCGAGTGTCCTGTCCTGCGGCCGAGGTCAACTACCCGGGCTCCCCCTCTTTTTTGCTTTTGTTTTTGACTTCTCTTGTTCCATGCGCTCACTGACTCGTCTATTATTCAGGTACATATTTAATAATTTTTACTAATCTTTAAGGAATTGATTCAATGATTGATAATTAGGAAATACAAAATTCATACATATATTGATAAGAATAATTAAAATTAAAACAATATTCTTTTCCCGTATACTTTTAAAAAGATTCGCGATGATTTTTACGGTCATTTGCTATTCCTTATTTAACGATGGGTAACGCCTTTGTGTAAATCAGAGGCATATTCAGGAGGGATATGCTGGCAGTTGATTTCTTCTTTGTCCTAAACGCTATACCAAATCTTATCCTGAATCAACTCTAAAAATTGACATCACATATGAGGTTGGGGGTTAGAAGTAATATTTGGTCAACTAATAGGGGGAATCTTTCATTTAATTCTACTCATATGGATCCCAGGCCATAATGCAAGCACTTAATGGCATCTTTTGTGTCAGTCCCACGTACTGTTCACGCATTTTTCAACTTAAAAATTCGTTTCCAAATTAATTAAGAATTACTCCTACACTAGCTAGCTAATATATAGTCTAATTAATATCACTGCTGTCTCTTGGAGCTATAAATTAAATAACACTATGTGGAATATATTAAATTAAAGGATATTTTATCGCATAAAAATGCGACAAAAAAGAGAAAAAAAATAGAAGATTTAAGACCCTTCTTATGTAGTTATCATTCATTCCCAAACATCGGACACTCCCATCGCTAAGTGCTAAATTCCAAAGCAATGAATCTTTACATCTTTCCTTATAGCTAGCTCTTCAAACGTAGACTCGTGGCTTGATGTGTCAAGGCATCGATCAACAACATTCAGCTCGATCTCAATTACCAAGATAAAAAGAGAGCATAATTATTAACAAATGGGCTTAGCTTAATTAGCAAGAACAACAAAGTATATACTTAAATCAACCAAATTAATATCATGTGGCTCTTTGGATTCTCCACCAAAAATCCAAGAAATCTATGGATAATTGGCGCCATATCCCTAGTAATCCTTGTAACCACAGCCTTGAGGAGATATTTCATGTACCTTGAGCAACAAACAAGAGATCATGATCTTCACTACCCAATGAAAAGTACTGGTGTCCCAATTACAGGAAGAGTAGTACAGCAAGAAGTAGTTACCAAGTGGTGCCCTGGTGTCATAAGGACTTATGCACTTGAAGAGTTGAAGATGGCAACAAGGGATTTTCGAATTCGGATAGGGGTTGGAGCAACTTCTTTTGTGTATCTTGCAGATCTTGGGGATGCTCAGTTCGGGGCGGTGAAGAGAGTGATGGAGGGCAGAGGTGGGAGCAAGAAGATATTCTTGGATGAAGTTTCAGTCTTGTTAAGGATTTCTCATCCAAATTTAGTGAGGTTGATGGGTTTCTGCTTGGAAAAGGGTACGCCAAATCTTCCTTACCTTTCACCGATCTTTTTATACATTCTTGTTGAACATTAATTTATCACCTTAGCTAATTATAAAGGCATATATATATATATTGTTTGAGGATTGTAAGTTTTCTTTTACAGATTTTGTTAATTATTTTTATAAATTCAATTATTGATACTTTTTAATAAATAAATTTTATAAAATAATTATATAATAACAGTGTTATTCTATACGAGCCGGAGTTCTCTAAAGAAACTTTTCATGCCATATTGCTATGAATATTAATGCAAATGTATAGCCAGGTCCTTGCTTGAGCTTCCAACCTACGAAAACAGAAGTTTTTTTCAAAAGAACTATAGATTTCTGATGGTAATCTCAATGTGACAATTATTAACTTAGCTTCTTTTCTCTTGAAAATATACCAGATCTCATATATAGAGATGATTACAATACAAATATACCAACTTTCAATCTTTTTTCAATTAAGGATATAAATTTTAATTTTTTTTCATTTGAGTATATCAACTTTTTCAAAACTATTGATAAGCACTTCCATCAATTTTTTTCATTAACGGATAACGTGTTTGATATTCTCAAAATACCAAATTATAATTTTACCTTTTTTTTAATGCAATACATGAATTTTAATTTTTTTTAGATTGAGTACACTAATTTTTTCAAAATTGTTAATCAATTACATTTGTCAGCTTCTTCATTAATTGATAACATGTCTGAATACTAAATTTTTTTTCATCTTTTATCGTAAGGAATTTCTCTTTGAATTATCTTATCATTTTAAAATTTGACAAAGAATTAAACAAATATATTTTTTAGTCATAAATTTCGAACTAAACTTAGTAAGGCTTGTTGTTAAAAAAATAAATCAGTTAGATTTTGGATCAAAAAATTGAAGAAAATACAAAAGTAAGATTTTTTATTGAAAAAATTTATTTGTGTTTTTCTTCAATTTTCATTTCTAAACCCGAAAGAGTTTTTTTTTTTTTTTTAACAGAAACCTAATTGAGTTTAGTTTGAAATTTTAAAGATAAAAAATATTCTTTTATTTTTTTTAAATTATAAAATAGTAAAATAATTTGAAAAAAAAAAAAGTTTCTTTCAATAAAAAGAAGGTAAAATTATACTGGGCCACGAAGTTCCAAGATTCACACCCGTTGGTTTGATTTAGGCATTGAATTAAGCCTTGGGTTCTTATAGGTCCACAAGTTTTCACTTCATGGGCTACACAACAACTTCCAGATTTAGCCCGACTATCCCAAAGATTTAATCCTTGTCTGTTCGGCCTGAACATCTTACATCCCAAAATTAAGAGGCAAATGTTCCAACGTGAACTAACACTACTTAATGGGTCTGAGCAGGAGAGCAACTTCTTCTACTAGAGTATGTCCCAAACAAGACTCTCTTCGACAGAATGCATACATACCATGGCCAATCCTCAGGTATTCTTTCATGGTCTAGCCGCTTAAGCATAGCACTTGACATTGCTCGAGCTCTGGATTACCTCCACTCGCAAGCTGATCCAACCATCATTCACAGGGATGTCAAATCCTCTAACATCCTCTTAGTTGACGATGATCATGCCAAGTTAGCCGACTTTGGGCTATGCAAGTTAGGCTATGACAAACCTGGCTCAGAAACTAGTACTACGACTCCAACTCCAGCTAGCATCAAGGGCTCCTTTGGTTACATTGACATTGACTACCTCAAAACTGGCCTTGCAACACCCAAGATTGATGTTTATAGCTATGGGGTGTTGGTACTTGAGCTCATCACGGGCCTCAAATCAATAAAAGGCTCTGTGACACTTGCTGAATGGACTGAGGAGTATAGGAAGAGTGACGATATAGAAGTTTGGGCTAAACTATTGGATCCAAAACTTAACGGGAATGCGAATTTGGAGCAGCTAAGTGTGTTGATCCATGTAGCCAATTTGGCTCTATTAGAGAATTCCGAAGGGAGACCAGAAATGTGGCAGATTGTAGATAGAATTCTTAGATGCATGGAACCTCGATCCTATCACCACTTGTTGCCAGTGTAAAACCTCACATGCAAGCACTCTGCTTGTGTTCTGTACATTAATTGAAATCTTTTAGCGATATATAATTGGGTCAACAATGCATGTCATTCTTTTCAGTACTACTTAAATATGTTTAATCAAGTCCCTCTACTTATCTGAGAGTTGATTAAATCCCTTTACACCAACAACTTGCTTAGTGTCAGCCTTCCGTCAGTAACACTGCTTAAAAATTCGGGAAGAAATAAAAGATTTGAGAAATATATTAAGAAAACGTCAATGAAGAAGTAAAACAGAGATAATGATTTCTGTACTTTCATTTCTTCTAAATCAAAGCACTCTGCATTTAAAGCCCCATTTGTCAGAAACATAAATCGCAAAAAGAACGCAAAGATCCGAAGGTAACCTCGGTAAGACTAGCTTTTTATTTTTCTTTTGATTTTGAGACAAATTCATTACATCCTTTTAAATTTTGAGTTAAGAGATCAAATGTGTACACCATGATTTGCAGTATCAAGCAATTTACAATAACCCAACAAGTAAATATGGATCTGACATTTCTTTCTCCCTTTATACCTTGTATTTAACAAGAGTTTAAAATTGAAAGGAAAAAAAAGAGAGATGGAGAGGGAGAAATGGTCAAATGGAGTTAAAATTCTCTTCTTCTTTTTTGTCATGATTATTTTTTAAAACAAATTAGTTAGGTTTGCGATTCTCAGGTGAGTCTATTTTCATCAATTTTTATAAGAATATCTAATAAATCAATACTATTTGTCCAAAAATGAACAAGATTAAAACAGAAATCAAAGAACTTAAAAAAAAACACACATTTTTGACAGAAGTTTCCATCAGAAGTTGACTTGTAGGAAAAACTATCAGTGTGTAGAGGATTAGGATAGATAAGGCAACATATGAAATACGTGTATTATACTTATTGTTTAAATAAATAAATAAATAAATATCCTAGTCAAAACTTCGGTTTGTTTAAGGAGTCAAACCAATCAAATCAGGTACTACCATACTCATTGTTTAAACAAATTACTAAATTCTTAACTAGAAAAAAGTAAAAAAAATCGTGCTTGCTAGCTAGCTATTATTAGCATGCATGATTAATTAATTAGAGCATCACCGAATCCAACTGGCATTGTCTGCCTTTTGACTCATCGTATTAAATTAAAAATATTATATAGAATAAAAGTTTGAGCTTGAAGACAGAAATTAATAAAAATAGATAGATGCTTCCTCTAATGCCACTTAACTTTGCATCGTATGATCCACCTCATTTTGTTTCTTCTATAATCCTTTACACATTTGCGATTAATATTTTAATTAATCAATCATTTATATTGTACGTATTACGTACTTACATGTGTACGTATGCCAAGTTAAATCGAAGCACGTGTATCCCTTTTGGTATATATCTATATATATATAAGTCAATGACTATTTTTTTTTTTCCCTTAAGGCAAAATTATTAATTATTATATGGAGCGTATAATATTATATCTTTATGTCAACAACCTATCTATGAGAAGGGACAGATCGATGAGGAGCAGCCTAAGGATATTTAATTACGCAATGCACCTTTTTTTCTTTCTTTTTTAATCATGCAGCATTAAAAAAATCAGTTTGTTCTGTTTACCTTGTGCATGCTGGAACAACTTCGGAAACAGATCAGAGAGACTTCACAGTTTCACATATTTATATTCTCTCTTTTTTTTTAATTGAAAAATGCCAATAAATTAAGAGTAATGCAAGATCGAAGCTCGTTTTAAGCCAAGTTAGCCAACAATATTAATTGAGTTTATTGTCTCCTTAACCCAAGAAACCAGTAGAGGCTTAAAATCTTGGATTTCACGTCAAAACTGAAATTAGTAGAATTTCTACTCATTACTCTTTTTTTCTTTTTTTCTTTTTCAAAATAATATACTATATATGAGGTTAATTATTCTGTCATTTTATTATGAAAAGCATTATATTTTTTTTCCCCCGGTAATTTGTTCTCCTTTGTGTTGACTCTCTCTCCCCCACTCTTCATCAAGAATATGTAATTAACGTGCTCTTGCTTTTTCAGTAGTGCCAAATCTACCAGCTTCTGATTAAATAATACTCCCAGGTCAATAGAAAACTATGCCCTTTGACAGATATTAAAATGAATTCCCAATTATTATTTTGCTTAAAATCCAACACGTTCATGGTGAAGATAATTAATGGCCTTTTTCATTCATATATTACTGCTGCATCACCAAGCACGAATCATGTATTGCTAACAGAGGTGTTTTCAGTTTGTCTGTATCTATCACTTAACAAAAAACAGCTGTTTTCAGTTTGTATCTTATCACTTAACAAAGGAGAGGGAGAGGCCTACAGTAAATTATTGAAATTACGGGCCAGGCCTTGTCACTTGTAAAGTTCCTTCCATCGAGAATAACTTTTTTTAAAGGGATGTACACACAAGATCACTCACTCCCATTTTTCAAGCAGAGTAGTGAATCTTTTAATTACGTTTTACATAATTTTTGAATTGTGATTTTTGGATTATATATAAAAATTTGACAAAAATAAGTTAAAAAGATTTTAAATTAGAAGTATTCATTTTCAATTTAGTTCACTAATTTGATAGGGTCCTCTAGTGCTAATATATCTTGGTTGGTGTTGATTTTAGAAAAAAGATTTTTATCTTTTCAAGTCACAAATAGCGGTTGCAGAGTACGCCTTGTTTAAAATACGTACAATGAACAACTATACAATTAGATCTTTCTAATATTGTACATGACTTACAGAAAACTCAAGCGACCACTTGGATACTTGAACTATTCTTAAGAAATGGACAGAAAATGACGAAATGGAATTTTAAAATGAAAAAAAAGAGAATGAAGTTTCAAGAGTACGTACGTACGAGAAAAAACTTTAAGCTTGTGAATGAGAATCGCATAACTTTTCTAACCATTACAACTATTGAAACAATTACCATTAATACAATCCTTACCACTCTACTAATGTTGTATTTCTCACATCATTGCTTATTACATGTCGTCAATTTTTTTTTCAGGTTAACAAAATATGTCGTGGAATATTTTATGCAAAATAAATACCCGATAATTGTGTGGAGGCTTCTGGCTAATCAGAGTCTTCTTTGACTCCCATTCCCATCCTTGCAAGATAAAGAGTCGTCAGCCAGCAAGTAACTAAAAGTACACTGATTGCAAAAGAAATTGGTCCCATCTCTCAATGATTTGTTTTCATTAGGAATTGGACCCAGAGTACGTCTAGCTAGCTAACCGGCTAATTCGAGTTGCAATGTTTTTCATTAGGACGTGGTCCCTGCTGTACACATCTAGCTGGCCCTCAAGTTGGAAATGAAACACCAATTAAAGTAGAAAATTAGAATAAGTCAAGTGCAGATACTAAAATGTACAACAAACATGCAAGAGAATTGTATTGAATAGAAGAACTATTCATTTAATCAAATATTTTTGGATTCAAATTTTTATATAGGTATATAACTGTATTTATTCGATCGAATAATAAGAGATATTTTTGAATTTTTGAATCTGAATATTTTAGAAATTAAAAAAAAAATGTAAAACAAATTAAGAGAGAATGTATTATGCGTCATTATGAAGTGTAGATTTTTGAGAAAAGACAGGAAGGGAGGACAAAGCTAGCTATGACCTCGACCCATCAAGCATCCCAAAAGTTGAACTTATCCTTGATTCCAACCAACCAGCCAGCTACCATATACTTATATATACACTTTGCAACAAACTGGGAGTGGCCCTGGTTTTGTCAATGTGTGGTTTTCTCAAACCGTGTCTCCTTCACTGGTTTTCCTCTGGCCCATAGAATATATGTTACATACACGTTAACAGCTAGCTAATGGACGTGCATTGAATCCTATGACTACATTCTACTATATTCTATGCATGAACTAGTATCGTATAGCAATTATTAGCTCCTTTATATATTTAGATGAAAACTTTATGAGCAAGTTGGGTCGTCGGCAATGGCTCATGAGAAGATACGATTTATTTGTTGGATCAATTTGGTGCATCATCGATCAGTTTGTGCAATGGATATGGTTTCTGGTCTCTTTGGAACGTAGCTACCCCCTCCTCTCTCTTGGTTGCTTCCTCGTGCTGTTCTGTTTAAGTCTTAATTTCTTGTCTTGCCTTGTTTTCTTAATTTCGCCTGGGTTGCATTGTATTGTGCCCATGGTCTTCTCCAACAAATTAATTTGTGCGACAGAAAAAAGGTTGTTGGTGTCAGTTTCTAAATCATCTGTTCGTTGGGATTTAAAAGTTAGAACAGAAAGCAATGCGCTGCGCGGCTTGCGGAGAATCTTTTCTTAATTTTCTCTTCTCCTTCTCAATCATTGCGGAGTTAATAAGTCCAGTTCCTGTGATCCAAATCCAACCGATTTGGACATGCACCTCCACACATCAATTGGACAGCCTCCTTCACTTCCTTCGTACGTCAATCAATCACATTCCTCGTAGTAGTGGAGCCTGAATCTTTTCTCTGTCATCCTGAGAAAAACAAATCATAGCTGTAACCAAGCATCTCTCCTCAGTCCCGAGATAAAAAAGAAAAAAAAATTGATTCTGATTTATTACTTATTACCTCCTTTTTCTAAATCTTTTCTCTTCTTTTCTTTTTCTTTTTACCATCGCTTAAGTGCCCATGTGTCTTTGGCTCATTGGTCACGATCTCTTGATATCTACCACAAAATTATAAAGTTCGCAAATTTAATTTCTAATAGTTAGATTTTATACAACGTTTAATGACCTAATTTACTTCGACTTGTGATATAATAAGATTTATATTATCAATTTAGATTATTTAAATCTCAAATTAATAATTTTCGGATAAATTTTATCTTTCTTTATTATATGTTATTATCAAAGTGTTGATCGTTAATTGAAATACTTAAAATTACATAGTTCAAATATTTCAATTTGTTTTTCTAGAATTAAAAATAATTTTGAAAAGATAATATTTAATAGAGTAAATAGTTCAATTTG